CCACTCCAGCGCCGCAACAAATCGGATGTGAGGGAACTTCTCAAAAAAAAAAAAATCCGCCCAGCTTCTAGTCAAGAAGATAGAAAAGAAAAAAGAAAGAAAGAGAGGGAAGAAGCAAGAAAGAAAACAGAGTAAGCGAGATAGAAAGAAAGAGGCAAGGAAAGAAAGCAAAGAAAGAAAGAGGGCGGAAAGAAAGACAAGCAAAGAAAGAAGAAGGAAGAGAGGAAGGAAGGAAGGAAAAAGAGAAAGAAGCGAAATAGGAAAAAATTAAAATAAAAAAATAATAAAAGAAAGAAAAGAAAAGACAATGCATTGGCATAATGCAGATATGGAAACTCAGGTTTTATTACCTGAGGTTGGAAAGGCAGTTTACTTCTAATTCTCCTTGATAAAACATACAAATCAAAAATAAGCCAGATTCCCTTAAGAAGCTACTGAAATGTCTCCCCAGAAAAGAAAACTTACTACTGAAATGGATTTTTTTTTCCTAAGCCTCAAATTAAAGACCTTGCGGCCAGAAAAGAAGAAAATGTGTATTGAAAGCAAACTGATCTAGGGAGGGTGGTGAGAATACTTGCAAAGCAAGAGATCCTGTGTCAGCCTTCTGCAATTTGTTCGCGCTTAGATGGGCACGGAGTCCTGCCCAGCAGCTATGCCACTGCTGTGACCCACCAAAAGACAGAGCCCTGCTAAGACACTTCGTAAATGCCACTTGTAAATGCACTCACATAAATGCACTGCATTACCCCTCACTTGTAAATGCACTCACATTTCCTGTGTGCCAACATTAATGGGCATTACCAAAACCAAATCAGAGTGCATGGGTTTACAGTACTGCTTGAAAACCAAGCTTTCCAGTGGGGGCAATAGCGTAATAAAGTAAATCTAGGGTGCTGGCGCTGAACTCTTCCTCTTCTACACGTTACTCTACAAAGAGTTAAACAAAATCAACGTTGTCTTAATTAGCCAGCAATGTACTTCGCCTCAGACTTTAAAATCTAAGCTTTGCGCCAGCACAGTGCGCTCACGCCTGGTCGCAGCCAGCACTCGTCTGGGGAGCCGACGCGGTGGGAGGACTCGCTCGGGCGAGTCAGAGGTTGAAACCAGCGGCTGAGCAAGAGCAAGAACCCATTCTTAATAAAAGATACAAGAAGCGGGCATTGGGGCTCACACCTGTCATCCTAGGACTCTGGGGGACGCCGAGCGGGCGATGGTTGGCTCGAGGTCGGGGAGTGTTCGAAACGCAGCCTGAGCGAGACCCCGGTTTACTAAAAATAGAGAAGAGAATTAATTGCCAACTAAAAACAGGGTAGTATGATACAGCAAAATTGGCCGCGGCATGCGTGGTGGCATGCCTTGTGGAGTCCCAGGCTACTCGGAGGCTGACGCAGGAGGATCACTTCGCAGACGCAGGATGACGGTTGCCTGTG